TGGGGTGTCATATGTGTTCTTATCTGCTAAGCCATCTCTCCAGCTCCCTAGACCCCACAGGTTTTTTGTTTTCGTTTGTGTTTGGTTTTGTTTGGGTTTTTCAAGAAAGGGTTTCTCTGTGTATCTCTGGTTGTTCTGGAACTCGCTCTGTAGACCAGGCTGGCCTAGAACTCAGAGATCCGCCTACCTCTGCCTCCCGAGTGCTGGGATTAAAGGCATGCACCACCACCTCTCCATTGACCGTTAAGGTGCCACCACTTTCAAGTAATGGAGCCTTCGGAGAAAACTTATTCAAAGCCCAGCAATGTCTCAGTAATGTCCTTACAAACTGTCACAAGCTAGGTAGCTTCAGAAACCATAAACCTAAAAGGAAGACATTAGCAGGAGCACGCTGCCAGAAAGCCTCCAAGGAAGGCCCTTGCTGGCTCCTTCTAACTTCCAGTAGCCAATATAGCCCTTGGCTTGCCACATGTCGCCCAATCTGCCTCCCACGGCCATCTCCTCTGTCTCGCCTTTGTGTGTCTTCTATGAAGACAGTGGTTTTTAGAGTTCAGGCTGACTAGATAATCCAAGATCTCTTGTGCTGAGAATTTGCACAGATTTGTTTCCCAAAGGTGGGGGTCACCGGCCCTGGGGCATTAGCGCCAGTCCTAACTTCGGGCAGGATAGGGTAGAATTCACTGATACTCCTGAAAGGGACCAGGATGAGGACTTAGGGTCCACGCCTGGGGCTTGCCCGTGACACGTTTTACCCTGTAGAGAGCGTAGGTCATCCTTTCTGGGGACCTGGAAGGGTTCCAGCTAGCCTGCTAGCCCAGAGGCCTGGAGCCTCCGGAGGGCCTGAGTGGGGGTGGAGAGCCGCTGACAGGTAAAGCCCTTCTGGGCTTTGATTCATTGACCGTCTGGGCAGGAGCTGGCCAGGCTGCTAAAAATGACAAAAATGCCTCGCGCATATTTTCCTCTCAGCCCGCGGTTTCACTCAGTGTCAGTACAGTGGAGAGAGCCTGTCTGCTCTGCTTGCCCATCCCAGCTTGGTCCCCATCTGTGGTCCGTCTGCGGCTCTCCCCCTCTTCTTCACATACACCCGCCCCCGGTCCGCGAGGCTGGATGGAGTGGGCAGGGCTGGACCACGTCCTCATAATTGAAATATTTGGCGCTTGGGGTGAGGCCAGACTTCCCCAAGTCAAAGGGAAAGATTCAAGCTGGGCCTCTGTGATTGCAGGAGGAAGCCCCGGAAGCTGCCGGGATGCCAAAGCCAGTGGCCAAAGACTTCCCATCAGACCCAAGTAGCCTTGGAATAAGGTGTGAGGGCAGACACTCAAGGCCACAAGTTCTAAATCCCTTCCCGGGCTTCTTTCCTGCCACCTCCTCGGCTCCCTCAGGACACCCTTGCTACTGGCTCTGCCCGTCACAGAATCTTCCTGGAGAAGACCCTGCTACCTGTTCTAAGAGTTGGTTATAGATCAGTAAAAGGGGGGTTTTCAAGGTACAAGCATGAGGACCAGGGTTGGAATCCCCAAAACTCATGGAAAACCAGGATGCAGCAATGCTAGTGCTGGGGGCGCAGAGGCAGGAGGATTCCAGGCCTTGCTGGCCAGCCAGTTCAGCCCGTGAGCTTCGGTTTCAGCGAGAGACCCTGTCTCCAACACTGAGGTGAAGAAGAGCAATGAAGGAAAACCTTTGTTGTGACACTGTGGCTTGGGACACACACACACACAAGCACATGCACACCACACAACTCTCACACACAGAAATAAACAAAAAGCATTTTGAAAGCAGGGCATGCTGGTTGGTGGTGGCATATGACTTTAATCCCAGCACTCTGCATACCAGGTTGGCCTTGAACTCAGAAATCCACCTGACTCTACCTCCTGAGTCCCAGGACAACCAGGGCTGTTACACAGAGACATCCTGTCTTGAAAATCCAATGAGAGGAAGAGAGGAAGTGGGACACGATGGTGCCTACCTGTGATCTCAGGAGGCTAAGGCAGGAGGGTCTTCAGTTTGAGGCTAGACAGGGGCACATAATGAGACTCTGCCTGGATCCTCTGTCCCCTAGTAAGCTTTGAAAGCCCGAAGGCAGATGGAAGCTTCTGAGACATTTTCAGTACCAAGATTCAAAAGTCTCCCCTTGGAGGAGGGACAAAGTCCTGCTGATGCCCGTCGTCCTGTCTCCTTGTAGAGTCCCCGTTAGGCTGCACTGGGCCTCAGCATTTGCACAGACTGAGGTAGAAATGGCCCTCCCAGGGATACAGGTGTTGCTTCAAGTAGGGCTCACTTCCACCTTCCAGGGATTTCTAGGGACCAGTCCCAGGTTCTGCTTACCTTCCTAACTGTGAAACTCACGTGACAAGATCACATTTCCCTTTTTCCTTTTGCTGCCAGGGAACTTTGAAGTCCAGCGTGCCTCCACCCTGGTCTTAGTCCTCTCTTTTAGTCTGAATCTTCTTTGTCATTGATTTTCTATGTTATCAGTGGGGTTTTTTTTTTTTTATGTACTTTCTATTATGAGCCGCTGGTAGCTGCTGTTGAGAACAATGAAGACTATAATCAGGAGATAAACACACCAGTGGCTCCATTCTGCCCTTCACGTTTATTGCTGGAAACAGGGTGGTTTGGTGCAATAAATGATTTCTCCTGTTGCATTATCTTCAGAACTGGGCTTTTAACTCAAGAGATTCTCTTTCTTCTAGTTAACACTTGAGCCCCTTAGGTAAAGACCCTGGTACAAAGAGAACCTTATCAGTTCTGACCACGTTCCTCTGGCCAGGTGCAGATGAGGGTCAGAAGCAGAAGGGAACCGAAGACCGAAAGACCAAAGTTCTTTGTAAACTAGGAGCCCATGAACCTGTGGAGCCAATGGGATATCTGTAGGCAGTCATCCTCTAAGATAGGGGCCTTGTCCTCTTGAATTCCTGGGGCGGGGACAATCCCATAGGCACAGTCCCTGGTCTCAGAGCTCCACCATGTACCAGAGGGCATGAGGCCTTTGTAACCTGGTCCTGTGTACCTGGGTCTCAGTTGCCATCAGGGGAGCAATTGTTGGAAGACTCATCCACTCTCTAATTCGTCCCCAGCAGCCTGGCCCTGGCTTTGGACTCAGAGCTAGCAGAACTGTCCCTTCTAAGCCCATTGGGGAACTGTGAGACTCTCACGGCAAAGCAGACAGACATCTGGGGTGTGACATTCACCCAGCTGTGTGTCCCTGCCATCCATGACAGGACAGGTTAGACTCGGAGAGAGATACAATTCACATGCTATCTCTGTCTCCTCGCCCCTCTGCTCCCTCAGGTACCACCCTTAGGTAGGGAGCAGTTCCCATTACTGCTTGTTCTTGCAAGTTCACAGATGCAGAGATACTGAGAGGTAAGGACCCCAGTCAACCTTCCCCAGCACAGGGACCCTGCAGCACCACCTCCTTCTCACACAGCACACAGGTGCTTGCCACTGTCCTCTCGAGAGTGACCCAATAGCCAACTCACAGACCATCGTTCTATCAGGGCCCTCTCCCAAAGGGCAGGCAGGTGGTCATTTCAGCTCAGGAACCAAAGACCTAGAGGAGAAAACCAGACCCAGAGGTCACCTTAGCTCCACATCCCTGCAGTTCCTGCCTGTGCGTTTAAAGGAACTTCAACCTGCTTTTCCCCCAACCTCAGAAAAGGATTGAGGATGGTTAAGGGCCTGCTTGGGTGGGGCGGTGCACATCTGTGTGCAGGAGGGGAGGACCATCACAGCTTCCCACAAGGGGATGATTGCCAGGCCTGGGCCGCTGTGCTCCAGCTGGCAGAGAGACTTCAGGAGGAGTGGGTTAGAGTGGCCTTCCTTTCTCCCACAGGTGTCCGGGGGTACGGCTGGTTTCTGATGCTGCAATTTGTCCTTGCAGGAGGGAGATGCTGAGAGTCCATGTCTGTAATCCGCTCCCAGTGAGGTCCACACTAAGCAGCTCTGCAGAGGTGGGAGGCAGTGAATCCTATCCTGGCACAGATGAGGAAATGGACGCTGGCTGAAGGTTCTCGATGACTCTGGAATTCCATAACCTCTTGCCCCTAACCCCGATCCTAAGAAGCTTTTCTCTTCTTGCCGTCTCCCCAGAAGAAGCGGCTAGCCCTTGCCTCGTCCAGCCTGAGCATCCGGGCAACAGCAAACAGACAATCTGTGCATCAATTCCTAGATGTGGGAACCCTGCCCTGCCTCCAGGATGACTCTCCCAGGGAACCCCCAGACTCAAATCCCAGACCAAAGCCCCAGAGACACATCTGTCTGTGACTATCCAGTTTGAACCCCATTGTTTTCCAAGGAATAGGAGAAAGGTCGCTGTAGAGAGGCGTCTTTCAGTGGAAGGGAGTGGGGTGACAACAATGCTCTTTAGGAGCCACTTGTAACCCCAAAAAAGTCTAGCAGAAAAGCTGTCGTGGGTTAGTCAGCCCAGCTAGAGCCTAGTGTCTCGTGTGATTCTGTAGGACCTGTCTCCTTCATGTAGGCCTTTGGAGCCCATACCCCTTATGTCACTATGGACCCTTCCTGGATGACAAAGTCCCAGACAGCTGGCATCTCCAAGTCCCTAAAAATCCATGCGAAGGGAAGAACACGAGGCTTGAAGCCGAACAGGCCCACGCCCATTGGTCTGGGAACTAGCTGCACCTCTCATTGGGAGGGGTGACCTCAACATTTCAAATTATTCTGGACATGGCGTTCCATCTCCCTGGGCTTCAGTTGCCGCCTCAGCTAAGTGGAAACAGATCGATTGGGCTGGTGTGAGTGTTTCATGGGTGGTGAATGACACAGTAGCACCCGCAGAAGCAACCTGTCCCCCTTTCTGGGTAGCGTTCATATTCTGAACACCACTCACCATGTTATTCCTGGGCTAAAATCCTACCTTCTACCCCCGCTGATGCTGGCATCCTGGGCCAATGGAGGAGCCTCATCTTTCCGCCCTTCTGCCCTTAGTCCAGCCAAGTCCCAACAAGCTGTTCCCCCCATAGCAATACACTTCAGAAGGCTTGACAAGAGTGGGTTCTTTATTAATTCATTTTTTTCTTTTTAAAAAAAGGTACTCCTTCAGTATAAAAAATAAATATTTTAAATACGACATTGAATAAATAAAAAATAATCTGTCAGTATGAAACACTCCCACAGGGTACATTCATCAAAGAGGAATTTGTCACCCAAGGCCAAATCCCTTCCAATGAAAAGGAAAGGGGAAACAGCTGAGGCCCCATGGGCTGAACCAGCAGTGCAGAGGAGAGCTTGGGCTGGGGGTCATTCGAATGCAGACAGCCAGACCATTGCACGTCTTAAGTCACTCCCGTGCAAGACTCTGGGGTCCCGGCCCACGTGCCATGTCTGCTCCAGAGAGCCAGCAAAGCAGAGCTGGGTCACTTGTGCAAAGATCAAGGACAGGGAAGAGAGACCAGTGAAATATCAGTGCTTCGGGGTTTGAAGTCTTAAATAATAAATAAGGGACCCTATGCTTCTCTCTTGACAAATTGCGAAATGCCCCATCCCTCCTCCTCCGGCCCAGCATACTACCCACCCCCCATGGCAGATGGGAGTCAATGCTAGCAGGTGTAAGAGATCAAGGTGCACAGCTGCCTGCCCCTAAAGGGTTTCTTTCCCCTGAAGGCTCCATGATTCTGGGACGCTGTGCAAAATGGCTCTGAACTGCTGGAGTCAGATGTAGGCAGGTGGTGGCTGTATTATGGAGCCAGGGGCTGTGCACACAGAGTCCATTGGTCCCTGAGCTTCAGAGCTGCCAGGTGGGCTGAGCCCAGGGAGTCCATGCCCATGGGGATGCGAAGTGATGGCAAAGCCCAGCAGGCCCCCCGCTGTAGAGACAAGCTGCCCCTCAGCCTGGAGAAGTGCAGCCAGTCCTGAGCTGGGCCTGAGGCAGCGGCAAGAGCCGGGCCCACGGTGTCGCTGCCACATCTGCCGCACGTGAGTCCGTGGTTGCCGGCCTGTCCTACCCAGAGCTTCAGGAGCCATCCTCCTGCCGTCCAGGTAAAGTGCTTAGAGGATGACAAAGGAAGGTGCAAATATGCATGGAGCAGAATCCTGCAGCTGAACTGCTAAGGGCCGCCCTGCTCTGAGGCTGAGAGGCAGCTAGTGCTGTACTCAGCCACTGCCCTAGCTTGGCTGCCTCCCTCCCTACCCTGCTCCCAGATCGAGGGCGTTCCTCTGCTTGCCTGGCCCCAGCACAAAGGAGAGATCAGATCGGATTCCCTGCCTGGGAGCCCAGACATGGGCGGGAGTGGGAAGGCAGCGATGAAGCAAGGACCGCAGCTTCCTGGTCTGTGTCCCAGGCTTTGCTCTCCCCTTCTCCGGAGCACTGGGCAGCCGTTCAGGCCCAGTTCAGGGCCTGCGCTGCCCCAACTTCCTGCATTCTGTGGGTGTTCAGGCCACCCGAGGAGCTTCCATGCTGGGTGGAAGCATGCTGGGTTCCCAGTCAGGATGTCTCAGTGTTCTTCAGCTGCTCTTTGAGGAACAAGGAATCTGCTTTGCCCAAGAATGGTGCGCCACATAGCAGGAATCCAGGGGGCGCCAGAGAGCACCGTGGGACAAAACAACAACAACAACCACAAACTCCGCCCCCCTGGAGACCAGAAAGAGGAAAAAAAATCAACCACTCCACAAACTGGCCCAGCTTCTGGAGGTCCCTGACACCCTCAAAGTGAGTCACAGTGGGAGGCAGCGGAGCTAGCCAGCTCTCTGATCTCGACCCTTCTCTACGCTTCACCCATGAGGCTTATTCTCCCTGTAATATCATCAGCTCCCAGACCAAACCCACAAGGTGAGGCCTGACCATGGCTCCCAAGTAAGGGGCCTCATACTGTTTCAGGGAATTAACTTTGCCATTTCAAGCACCAATAAGTTAACATAAATAGGATACAGTAATAAATAGAAAGCAGCACTGGGTCACACACAGCGCCCTGGGGTCTCCAGCTTCCCTGAAACCCTGACCTCAAGTTCTGCTTCTCCAAGCTCCAGGAACCCAAGACAGCCTCCGGTCGCCTCAAATATCTTTGTGTGACCTCCAGGGCCTCAAGTGTGACCTTCTACTCTAGGCTACCTCTCTGTCTGTTTAGGATTACCTGTTCTCTGGCATCAACAGAAGCAGATGAAACCCACATCGCTAGCACCCCACCATGCCTGCCTTGCTCCCTCCCTGGCTCCTAGGGTTACAGCTGCGTCCCTGGGAGGACTCTGGGAACCTGCTGAACACCTCCCCTGCCTTTGCAACCTGCTTCTTCCCACCTGTGCACACCCCACCTCTAGGTCCAGCTGGGAGACCCCAACGGTGCTAGGTTGTGGGGGAAAATGCAGAGAAAATGAGTCCATCGCGCTCTGATGGCCTCGTCCTCGTCCAGGGACTTCCAGACCTGCAGATGGCCTCTCGTCATCCCTAAGAGCCTGACCGCCAGTGACCTTCCAGAATCTTCCACCTGACATGACAGTCCCTAAGCCTGAACTCTCCAATCAAACTCAAGAGAAGATACATCCCATCACAGGGTACCCTCTCCGCCTTCTGCCCACAAAACTTCAAAAAGACAAGGAGTCCTTCCGGATCCTCTGGCCTGCCCACATTCCCACCAGCCTTCCAAAGTCTCTCAAAGGGACAACAAAGGCCCAGATGGTGGTCACTCTGCAGGGGACCAGGAGACCTTTGCTGTCTGCTATAGACAACACGTGCATCTTGTTCACACACCTAGTGAACAACAGGCCGAGGGAAGTTAGTGGGACAGAAATCTCACCCACACTTAACCTCCTCCATGCCACTTCCTGCTGGGGCTGGGCTATCTGGAGGCCCTGCCTATGGAAGTTTCAGCTTTGCTGGACTTCATCACAGCCCAGCCCAGAGTGCAATGAGTGGCTGGAAATCCCTGGGGTCTGCCAGCAGCCCCCTTTGCATTTAACAATGCCCTGAACCCCAGCACACTTTGAGTCCCCACCCCCCCACATCTGGATCCTGCTCCTGAAATCTCTCAGTCCATACTTAAGGCCTCCTGTCTAGAAGGCTTGGGCCACCATGCTAATGACTTGCTTGTATGTCCCCAGGAGCTGGCAGCCCAACTTTTTCTTTTGGAAGGCATCTTTGCTAGTGGTGTCGGGGGCATAGGTCACATCCACATGGCCCACGTGGTACTTGTTGCACAGCCGGCAAAGCACATTGCTGAGGAGCCCACGCATGATGTCTATAGTAGCATTGAGCTTGCTGTGGAGGCTCTGGGCATTGGGGTTCAGGACCCTCTGATCCCGGGTGACATTGCTCAGGAAGACACTCAGATATGCAACCATCCGATACAGCTCCACCAACTTGGTCTTCTCAGTCCCATTAGCATGGAAAGGCGGGAAATCTGTCATGTTGGGCCCACACAGCTTGTCCAGGTTGTTGGGAAACGGCTCCCCTTGGGCTGTGTACTAAAGAGCAAAGGAACAGAGAGGGTCACATGGGGGTCAGGGTGAGTGTTCCAGCTTGCCACCAACCCTGGGTTTCCTTCCCCACCTGGGACATGGGGGGGGGGGGAACGACTCAACTTATTGCCCTGGAGGCAACTAGAATCATGAGTCAGCAGTAATCAAAGTGTGAACTCACTCACCAAGGTCACTGTGACATAAATGGGTAGAGAGGAAACGTGGCATTTCACAGGCGTCACCTCAGCCAGAACACCACACACACTTGCACTTTTGATCACCTCCGTCTCTTTCTGGGCACCCCAATGTTTTCACTGACACCCTCTGTTCACCCACTGCTTCATCCCTCTTCTTTGCCCACCCTGAGCCCGGTAACAAGCCCCCACCTCTCAGCCCAGCTCTGCCCTCCTCCCTCCACTCACTGGTGACCTTAGGAGAGTGACTGCCTGTCTCCAGCCTGGACTAGGGTGTGAGGCGAAAGCCGTGGATGGGATGGGCTTGCTTGAACCAAGTCCTTTGTCACTGTGTCTCCCAGCTCCTAAGGGCTCCCCTCCAGCCCAGGCAGCTCCCCACCTTCCTCGGGACCGCCGGTAGATAACTTACGTAGGAAATAAAGAGGGCATTGGCACTGCCATTGAGCTGTGCCAGTTGGTTCTTGATCTGGTTCATGAGGTTGCCGTGGCATGGGTGGCGTGTAGCACAGGTGCCATTAACAGGGGTGATGGGTAGCGGACTCCCTGCCCCGTGTTTCCAGTGCAGAACCAGCAGTAAGGGCACAACTCCTGGGAAGAGACAAGGATTGGATGGAGGAGCAGGAAGACCAATTGGAGGCTCGTGGCTCCTTGCATGGGGGCTGCGTAGGAAGCCCCCCTTCCCCTCCATAGCGTCACTGCTCAGCTGCAGTTTCTGACTCCCTGGCTCCAGGTCTCTTGACCCAGTTCTCTCTGCTTTCTCTTTCCCTGCTCCCTGGCCTCAGTTTCCCCACCCATGCCATTGTTTTGAGTGGAGAAGCAAAATATCAAGACAGGAGCCTTTTTTTTAATCTAGCTCCAGGGTCCAGGAGGCCACTCAGCTGTCTAGCCCTGTCCCTCAGGAGGGCCAAGTCTCAAAGCCTGGTCCCCTAACTGGATGGCATTAGGTCCAGCAGAGGAGAAGAATCCCATCTTCCCCCTGTCAGGGTGGGCTGATTACTCGATGTTCATTGGCCTAGAACTCCTAAAACTCCTTGAGGACCACGGAGGCTGAGGGTCATGGTTGCTGTTAGCCCTCTCTTCTCAAACCTGCAGCTAGATTCTGGTTCCCCTGGCCAATTGCCTCTAATCCATCTCTATCCTTCCTCAATGAGGTTCTACGTAAAACCTTCCACCTGTTTGCTCTGCAGGTCCCCACTCTCCATCCAAATCATCTACACCCCAACTTGCTAGAGTTCCCCCACCACCCCGAGCTCCCAACTCCACAGACTTTGGAGTGAGAGGAAACGGTGTAACCAGGAAAGAGACCAGGGAAAAGGTCGCAGGCAGACATGCAAGAGGAAAGCGAAAGGTGTCAGGAGAACAGGGAGCTGTCCGGGCCTGTCCAGAATCACCCCTCCCCCGGGGCGCCTGCCCCTCCTTCACTTCCAGCTACACCGGCCCCCTCACCCCAGTCCAGCCTTTCTAACACCAGGCTAAAGACACCAAAAGGTGATAGAGGCTGAAATCAACTCTTGGAGGTTGGAGATCTCCCACCTGAACTCTCCATGCTGGGACTAAACAGACCGTAGAACCTTAAGTTCACTCCCCTGGTGTCCCCTGCTGATCCCAGCATCCCCAGACAGTGTTAAGGCCCCGGGATGCCTGTGGGGGTACCCATACCCGCATCTCACCTCGCGCCAATCACAGCTTTCCAGGGACTAGCAGACGGAAGCGGCACCTGCGCCGGTCCTGGCCGGAGTTTGCAAGCTGCTCAGCCGCCTGCGCCCCTCCCAGGGAGCAGCCCGGGACGCAGTTGGAAAAGAGAAAGCGGAAAGAAAGAAAGAAAAAGAAAGAGGGAGGGTGAATCCGGGCGACAGCGGAGAAACAAGAGCAGCGCGGGAGAGCAGTGGGGCGAGCAGTGGAGGCGATGGAGCAAGGCTGCGCCGGCCGGGTCCCTCACTGCCAACCTGCTGGCCCCGGCTAGCTGGGCGCGCGGTGCCCGGACCATGTGCGGCGCTCGCTCCCGGCCGCCACCCAGCGCCTCCGGCTGGCTCGGAACTGCGCGGGCGCCCCAAGTGTCCGAGTGGCGCGGCGGGCCAGTGTCCCGCGAGTGCTCGCCCAGCGCCCCAGGCTGCCGGCGCGCCCGCAGTCGAGACTCGCAACCGGCGCCGGGCGCGTGGATTTACCTGCGGCCAAGACCTTCATTATGGGCTGGACTCCAGAGGGCCTTGGAGGAGACCTTAGATGCAGGCCGTTTTCAGAAGTTCATGCTCAAATGGGGAATTTGCCTGATTTATATACTGGAGCCTGTGTTGTAAGACAGAAACAGCTATATTTAGCCGGGATCCCCAGTCCAGGAAGTTGTTTGAGGTGCATCATAGGAAATTATGAATGGAAGAAAGTGAGAGTGAAGAGGGGGAGGGGGACGAGTGAGGGGGAGGGTGGGGAGGGCAGACTTTTTCCTTCTTCTAAGAATTTGATTGATAAAATTATAATGAAGTCTTAACAAAAAACGCCCTGTGGTTTTCCTGAGTGGCTTGCACTGGGCGTTGTTTGTAAATGGGTCTGGTGGGAAGGAGATCTCAGGGGAACTCAGATGGGGTCCCCAGCCTTGTGCCCTTCAGACGCCCCAGGTTCACCTGGATTTGGAGGGTGGCAACAGACTGGAGGCGGCCTTTATGACCCCGGGGAGGGGGGCTTTGCGGGACAGCAGGAGGATTGGGGCTGGGGTTCCACTGAGACACAGTTTTCCAGGAAGGGGGGCTGTGGCCCTTTTGGACTTTAGACAGTCATAAAGTGAAGCAGAACATGAACGCTGGAAGCTACTTTAGGGGTGGCCTGTCTCTAGCCTGCCCATTGCCAGTGGGCAAAGAGAGACTACCGGGGTATGGTACCAGTGTGCCAAAGGTTCTGGCCCCTTACATCCATCTGTCAGCATGCCCCCTTACTAATTGGCACTTGAGAGTGCCTGGGAAGATGTGAAATTGTGTCTCTTTGGGAACCGTCTGGGGAGGCACTTCAGGAAGGTACCTCAGCCTCTATTCTGGAGGGACCCCTAAAGCGGAGATCCAGGGAGGCTGGGCAAAATGGGACCCTTAGGGCACAGAGGAATGGCTGATGCCCCCCAGACACTCCTTGGAAGCCCCTTGGTGCTTTGGTCTCAGAGTGCGAAGATGACTCCCAACAGGTGCTTCTGCAGACTAAGGCAGGGTCTGCACACCTGGCGTGGGTCCCTGCTGGTGGATTACTGGCTGTCTCAGGGACAGGGAGGAAGAGGACGGAGTAAATGAGATCAGAGTCTCCTGACTAAACATAAGGCAGTGACAGAGGACTGACCAGGCACACATACCTAGGGCCATCCTGTCCCCGAGCCACTGGGCCCTTCTAGACCTAGAGATGTCATTGCCCTGAGGACCATATCCCAACCCTTCTGTCTGATGTTGGGACAACTGGTTTTCCAAAGCTTTGCCCGGGCACTGAAACACCTTTGGTCACCTCCATGCCCCCAGCTCATGCCTCTAGGCTCATCCAGGATCTGCTCAGATGTTCCCATGTCTACCAGGATGAACCCTTGTGCCAGCTGCTGTCCCCACCCCACCCCGCCCGGCCCCGCCACACATACACCCTCCCCCATCCTGATTCTTGTTCCTTGTGGTCTTTTGGCAGAGCCTTGGATAGTGGAGCGATAAAACCCGCCCCTCCCGTTTGGTACTTCCCAGTGGTGGAGGGGGGCTGGATCCAGAGGCCATGCACCCTTTCTTTCTCCCTGTACCCCAACACACCTTGTCTTTTCCTGGCGGCCCTACCTGGGGCTTACCATTCCTGAACACATAAGTTAGTGGAGACATCCCAGCCCGCACCACCAGCACCAGAACTTGAACTCCAGATCAGCTCCAGCTTCGCCATTGTCTTCCAGACATCTGGCCTCTGACTCAGCTTAGCCTCCTTCACATGGGTCCCAAATCTATCAGCCCAGGAACCCATCGTGGTCCTTTCCTTCTTGTCTCCCCCATGGCTAAGCCCCCAAGTGCTCCAGTGCTCATGGCGGCCACAGCCCGGTCTGTTCCGTTCCTATTCCTTACTCTCCTCTACATCCTTCCGGCGGGCTCCAGGCCTTGCACTGACCTCTGGATCCCTAAACCACACATTGGTACTACAGCTTCCCCCACCTCGATAGCCGTTTAATCTCAGCTCCACCCTCCAGGAAGCAGGAAATGGGAATAGATTCTAGAAGACACTGACATTAGGGCCTTTTTATTTCAGGCTCCTAGCTGACTCTTTTGTGCCTCAGTTTCCCCTCTCACAGTACCTGACTCAGTCCGCTCTCCCCCAGCGCTCTGGTCCCCTCCGTGCCCCAGGCCCTGCCTCCTGCTCCAGTCCATGTCTGAGTACCACCTGCGATGGGCCTCTGGGGAGATGCCAGGAAAGGTCTCCGCGCAGAACTGGGCCTCTGTCTTCAAGCTGCCTGCAACGTGGCTGGCTTCAGCTGGAGTTTGCTTTCGTCCCTCCCTCTCTCTGTGCTGCTGTGTGCTGCGCTTCCCCTCTGCTGCCTCGAGGAAGGCATCCTCCCTTCTTGGCTGCTGATTCCCAGGGTTATGACCCTGGGCCCCACCCTGGAGTGGCAGCCCCAGCCCAGCCCCTTCCAGCTGTGATTTCATCTGCAGCCTGCCCAGCTTCTGCACACTGAGCCTGCTGGGGGTTTGACAGGCTTCAGGATGAGGGGGACAGGCGGTTTCCACACAGGGACTCCCTCAGCAGGGATAGGGGGCTGCTGTGCCGGGCCCTAGGTGCTGTCTCCAGGTGGCTGTGTCTCTCCAGGATGTGAGCCTGTAGACTGGCTGGGGGGCCTAACCCCTCCGCGCTCCCGTTCACTTTGGAACACACAGCCAGTCGGCCTTGCTTCTCCCACTGCCTGTCACTCGGCAATCCCAGCTCTCTCCTAGAACATCACAGTGGCCTGTTTGTTTTGCGCTTGTGGACGCTAAGGGCAAGTAAAGGCACATGCATAAGGGTACACAAAGACCATCAGAGCCCAGGCCTCTGGCTTGCAAGGCCACAGAGATCCCTCTGTGAGGGAATAAGGACTTAAACAGGAAGCCCCGCCCCCAGCCCCCTGCAACCCTGACCTGTTCATCTGGTCTTGGTCCTCTCAGGCTAATTCTTGAACACACTGCCCTGTTCTGAGGGCTCTGAGGGGGTCCTGCAGCAGAACAGCCGAGCAGACGCTATTTATTTTTGTTCTTATGTTAATGTGACTTCTACACCTTGAAAGCAGTCTGGGCAAAGGCAGGAGCTCCAGTGGGCTGAAGCAGGCGTGGACTTTGACCTCTTTCAGAAGCAGCCTGGAGATTCGGCTCAGGGCCGTACAGGGTGTGTGGCTTTGGGGACATGGTCACTGCTCACCCTCAGTTTCATCTCTAAGTGAGAATGATGGCACACACACACACACACACACACACACACACGCACATAATGGGTTCGTTGCGAGGGTCTGGGGTTCAGCAGGATTCCTGACACCTGGCAAACCTCCCGTGTGTCAACACAGACCCTAAAGACTCCTCTGGGAAACAGAGGTCTTCGTCCTACTTAAAGATGAAGAAACTGCCATGCTCCGGAGACTAGGGCAACACCAGACAGGAAAGGGGATATTCCTCACCCACAGCTCCCCTTCAGCGATACCTCAGAATGAGCAGACAGGATAGAGGGAACTGGTATGGTAGTGTGCCTTCCTGTGCCATACAACACCCCCACACACACAGCCTGTTACACACCCCTCCACATACACAACCTGTAACACAGACCTACACACACCTGTCCTACCTCCACATACATATCACACACACACACACACACACACACACACACACACACACACACACACCAGCTACCCGGTAAAGGCTTGAGCCGAAGACTGTTGTTGGCTGGACTTTACCGCGGGAGCTGATTCACCCCCCAGACCCCATCTGAGAAGCTCAGCTCAGAGGAATTTGAATCACCAGCTGCCCCCCTGCAGAGCCCCTGGGGGAAGGACGCGGGGGTGGGGGCTAGCCCCCTTGCCTGCCTGCTGTGCTGTCTCTTTCCTGGGCCCTGGGGCACTCAGACTCAGGAGAAAGGACTGCTTGGCTGTGACTGCTTTCAGAGTTTTGGGGAGGTGGCCTGTCAGCCAGGCATCCTGTGTGGGCAGTGGTTACTCAGCAGGTAAGTAAGCAGCTCTCTGGGCACTGGGAATTCCCCAAGACTGGTGACCCAGATGCCTAGCTGCCCCCACAGTCAGGCCAGCCCCGTTCTCCCTGCATCCTTTCCCTGCCCTGGAGGAGCTCAGGTTTTCAAAAAACAAAGCCTTAGCTGGGCTTTGGTGACCTCACCTGGAAGGGGAGCTAGTTTGAGGAGGAAGCTGAGGGCTGGAGGGTGCTTCATAAGGCCAGAGCTCACGACAGGTGGTTAAAGGAAATAGGGACTCAGGAATGTGCCTGGCATGGATTTGACAGGGGATGCCACGTCCAAAGAGGCAGAGGCACCTCCATTTTCCACCTTGAGAAATGAAGGTGCCATTAGACCTGCAGCCCTCACTCCAATTGATAAGTTAACTACTTTTAAAACAAGTGAGCTATGTTGCCAGGTGGAGGGTGGTGTGGGCTATTTATCCAGGAAGATAATGAGGTCTGAATCCAACACAAACCACACTCCAGCTGTGTGGCCTTGGGCCATGGTGTCTCTAAGCCTCAGTTTCCCATTTGGAAAACAAGGATGGTTCAGAATAGATGCTCTGTCAACTCCGGTTCTGGGGGAGTAAGGAGTCTGGACCCAGCATAGTCCTGATGGTTAGAGCTGAGGTGGCTGGGGGGGGGGAGGGGCTCTCAGTCCTTGGGGGTGGGCATGACCCCTGGGAGCCGGCAGCCTTGGAGAGTATCAGCAAGCCCTCCTGTCTCACGGTCCTGGCAAAGTCCAGTGCTGCCATGGAACCTGCCTCTTCTCACCCTCACTCCATCACATCTCTGGCCGACACCAGTAACATCCGCTCAGGGCCAAAGGAGAGCCAGAAGCAGCCTGGCCAACGGCCAGCAGCCCCAGCATCACCCCGACATTTCCTGACTGGTTCTGCGTCAAGAATCGGAGCCCCTGGAGGTGAATCAGAGTGGCTGCATTTTTTTTCCCTCCTTCACTTCTGATAGAAATTGCAAAGGAAGTGGCAGCCCACAGAGCTGAGCATCAGCAGGGCCAGAGGCCAGGTTGTGGCATGGTGGGTGGCTGGTCCCACCCTGACACTACCTTCCAGCCTCTATCTGTGAACTAGGCTACGATCGCCCTGGCCCAGTATTTTGTGGCCATGTTGTGTAAACACTTAGACTATGGCTCTCTTTTCCCTGAATATCCAGGACTGTCCCAGGCAGAGATACTGGCCTCTACCGCTCCATGGGTTACAGGCTCAAGTTACCAGGAGCCAGTACGCTTTCAAAGAGAAATAGAATGATGAAATTCCTGGACATTTCCAGAGCGAGGGCAAGCATGCTCCCTGAAGTATTCTTTCCGGTTGTCTCTATGCGCCCACATGTTTCTTACTATGGGAATCAGTAAGGCAAGCCTGGCCCAGAAAAATCTGCGTGACTTGCCCAAAGTCACCCGGCAGTTGGCAGCACACAGTGTCTGACTTTTACCATGGCTGCCACTGAAGCCAGCTCAGGAACAGGACAGAGGTGCATCTTGGGCCCAGGTATGGGCAGACCAGGGACACGCTGTGGGGGTGGAGACCTGGCATCAGGGTTGAGCAGTGACGAAGTCCCTTGTGGAGCTCGGCTTCTCCAAAACCACTTCCTTCCTCAGCCTCAGACCCTCAGGGATCCTTGCCCTGCTCTGGCCTTACCTGGGTGAGGCTGGAGACCGCCACAACTACCAAGCCCTTCCTCAGGGGCATCAGGAGCCCTTCCTAGGCACTATGGGAGGAGGAAGTGGCTGGGGCTAGGCCCAGAGGCCCAGCCAAATCCAGAAGAGGGCGCCCTGCAGGCTCCCTGTGAGGCAGAGGCTTGGTGGAGTCTGTGTCTAAGTCTCAGTGAACTGAGGGTGTGTACAGCCAGAATGGGGTCAGCATGACTCTGTGTTTATTGTGTCTGGCCCTATCGTGCAAGCGTGTGCATTCGATTATGCTGTTTGCATGTGTTTGGGGGGCTAAGACAGAGCTGGAATTTGCAAGTCCTCTGGTACGTGTGTGTGTGTGTGTGTGTGTGTGTGTGTGTGTTTGTGTGTGTGTCTGTAAAGGATAGTGAGTCTGGCTGGTAGACAGGCATGACCCCCATGTTCATGTATGCATGTGCCCCTGCGTCTCTGTCAATCCCTGCCTTTCCCTGTCTAGCCCCTGCCCCTGGGAACCATGGAGCAGCCTCGTGTCACGGGGGCCACTGGCAGCTGGTTTCCTCACCCCGCCCTACCCCTCCCACCCCGGCCACCCTGACTTTTGGCACAGGGACAACGCTGATGTCAGAGCCGACTTGACAGCTTCCTTTTCCCACTGGGTTTTCCAAAAGAGAGACCGTAGCACGGCTGCTATTAAATAATCACGGGTGTGTGTGGGGTGCCACTCATTGGTTTCCTGAACTTGGAG